TTTGCAGTATCCTTCCCCTGCCACGCCCACCAAGCCACACCATGCCCAAGTGACATAATTCATGACTAGGGACCAGGGGGTCTTATGATGCTCTTGGCCATAGGGAAGTGGACAGGTTCCTCAATGATATCAATGCAACCACCTGTCAATTAGAACCTTGTATCTCCTGGTTGGTAAAAGCCTCACTGCAAGAGTTCCCGGAGCCTTTTACGGAGGACCTGTTTTGTCCTGTCCTAAAAATTTTCCACTTGCCTTGAATTTTTTTTTCCCAATTTCCTATTTAGAAAAGATGGTTGCTTAGCAACTTCAGAGAGTCAGATGAACCGTATTTCCTAAACCCCTTTCAGTCAGGTTTCAGGTCCAGCTATGGGACAGAGACTGCCCCGGTCACACTTATGAATGATCTCTGGTAAGGGCAGAATGGTGGTAGTGCAACTATTCTGGCTCTCTTCGACCTCTCAGCAGCCTTCAATACCATCAACCATAGTATCCTTTAAGGGTCAGTTATAGAGCTTAGGACTGGGCAGCACAGTCCTGCACTGCAGCTTTTCCTGGATCAGGACTGCCTGCACTTGGTCGCTCAAGCCATCGTCATCTCTCGCCTAGATTATTGTACTACACTTGTTCATGGGGCTACTTTTGAAATGCATTCAGAACCTTCAAATAATGCACAGTGCAGCAGCACGAGCAGTCCTTGGGGCCTGTAGAATGAGCCATGTTACACCAGAGCTTTGTGAGCTGCACTGGCTGCCAGTTTGCTTCTGGGTGCAGTTCAAAGTATTGGTTATGAACTATTAAGCCCTCCATGGCATAGGTCCAGATTATTTAATGAACGGTCGCATCCTACCAAGACAAGCCCCCACTACTTGTGCAGGTGGAGGAGACCTGAGGATCTCAGAATCCACAGTGTTGCCTGTATCGCAGGGTTAAAGTCTGAATTTCTGCCCCCCTCCGACCCGCACCTTGGCAACAGGACTCTTTCTCTCCTCCCTCTTTTCCTGTTTTGTCTGCTGGATCAATGCAGGGGGACGAACCTAACTTTGCTGTCCATTGCAGCTAGAAATCTCAAAGCTGAGAACGAACATTTGTGTTGTAGCCAGCCCAGGTGCTATATTAGACCCCTCCAAATTCTGTCTCTCGAGAATAATGGGTGAAGTTTTGCGCGCCACTCCAAAGAGGAATGCTCCTTCTCTGAATGTATTTAAATAAAGGCTGGATGGACATCTTCTGGAGATGCAATATCAATGAATTTCTACACTAAAGAAGGGGTTGGGCTAAATATTCTACAAGTTCTCTTCCAATGTGTGCATCTTATAATACTCTGATTTTACAAAATCAGTGGCCATCAATTTACTGCAAAGGCAGTAAACATTCAGGAAATGGCCATGGTGCTTGACAACCTAATTTTTAGTTAAGTGACATCAGTCAATCAGAATAGAGCTGGAATGGACCTTGGAGGTCTTCTAAGAGCCGAGGTGGTGCAGTGGTTAGAGTGCAGTACTGCAGTACATTCGGCAGTTCAAATCTCACTGGCTCAAGATTGATTCAGCCTTCCATCCTTCTGAGGTGGGTAAAATGACGACCCAGACTGTTGGGGGCAAAAGGCTGACTCTATAAAACTGCTTAGACAGGGTNAAGAGATATCTAAGATCTTAAATAGATATACGAACCAAAACTCTGAGGGCAGCTTCGTTAAGCTACCGTCGGCGGCAAGCACCTCCCCCCGGAAGTCCTGTGCACCCCATTTTTGGCCTCCACACACCCCATCTCCGTACGGGGATCGGAATGGGCAGAAAATGGGGCGTGCGGAGGCGGCAATAGGCAAGGCAATCCCTACAGCCTGAAACAGCTGATGATCAGGAGGCCAATCCAACTGACAATCAGCTGTTTCTGCTAATCAAGGTGTGCTGAAACTGAAACTGAAACTGAAACAGATTGTTTGCTACAAGGAGGCAAATTGCAGGGAGGCAAAAGCCAAAGGGTGGGGGCTGGTGAGTGGGCAAGACTACATTCCGTGTATAAGATGCACCCAAATTTTCACCCTCTTTTAAAGGCGAAAAAGTACGTCTTATACTCCAAAAATATGGTACTTTGTTTCCCGCCCTCATAAGATGAATTACAGAAAACAAAACTCAAATTCAACCCAAACTCATGTAAGATAACAATGTGAAATACAAAAAGGAAATGCATAGTAAAAAAAAGAATACGCTAGGGATAGAGTACTTGTGGTAAATCAGATGTTACAGGCTGTGATTAAATTAAGCATCCTTAATCAGTGTCTATGCTGGCTAGGGCTGCTTAAGTTTTGGTTGAAGAGTATTTGGTTGCAGGTTCACCATCCCTTGCCCAAGAAAAGGAAAACGTGTTGCAGAACATGGTTACATATATCACACATTTTCTTGTCCCCATAGTCCAACTCAAAAATTTGACTAGCAGTGTTAAGAACAAGTCTGCTTGTGAATAGCTGTGTTATTATAATTAAGCTTTATTCAATGCAGAGCATGATTTCTCTTCCAGTTCTATCAGATCAACTTAGAAAGAGTAGATATATACTATACCCCACAGCGTATACGATCAGGCTGCACTGCAACAAGATTTTCTAATGTGGTCACTAAAGGTTCATATGCCTGACAGGCTGGGAAACTGCATGGCACTTGTAGACTCTCAGCATCCTCCTTCTTTGCATCAACCACTGAATCACAACCAGAATCTAAGAAGAGGATAAACATTAATGTGATTTTTTAAAAGTTGTTTGGCTATTAGGAAAATCCATAAAAAGAACATAAATTAAAAATTAAATGCATTCTATATAAGAAAGAAGAAACATTACTTTGAACTCAGTAATGATGATATGGAGAGTCAATTTGGTATAGAGGTTAAGGTATCAAAGTAGAAACTAGGAGACCATGAGTTCTAGTCCCGCCTTAGACACAGTAAACTGTGTGATAGCCCTGGACATTAGGGGAGGGCACTCTCTGTCTGTCCTGGGAAGGAATTAATGGGAAGCTACTTCCAAAGTCTTGGTAAGGGATTTGTCCAGGCAGTCACTAAGAGTCAAGTCTGATTTGAAAGCACACACAAACACAAAACACACAAAATGATGATATTGATAATATTATTACGCACAACAGGATTGAAATCCAGCAGGTTCTGACAGGTTCTGGAGAACCAGTAGCGGAAATTTTGAATATTTTGGAGAACCGGCAAATGCCACCTCTGGCTGGACTCAGAGTGGGGTGGGAATGGAGATTTTACAGTATCCTTTCCCTGGAGTGGGGAGGGAATGGAGATTTTGCAGTATCCTTCCCCTGCCACGCCCACCAAGCCACACCATGCCCAAGTGACATAATTCATGACTAGGGACCAGGGGGTCTTATGATGCTCTT